TACCTTAATTATACTTACATTTTGTAGTTATCTTCTTCAAAAATTTAGTGTTTTCATCATCACGTCACCACCTCAGTTAAGGTTCTGTACTTAGAAATTGTAAGTTCTCTCTACATGAGATGACACATTGAGTTCTACATCTACACTCCTCTACACACATAGAGCTTTTCTCTCTCCTGACTATTATATCTTTTCAGAGTTAACCATTGTTCTCTCACTCGTTCACTCTGCTTGATCAATAATGAGTCCCTGGCCACCGTTGTCGTTTCTCAGAGTAAAATAGATCACCCAAATCGAACTACTAGATATGTGTGTATTGACTCAATATTTACATTACTGTCATTGATTACTTATTAATTGTCTATTATTACACACTTGACTGTTAATTTTACACAAGACTATTTTATGCATCATCACATTGAGCATAGCATAACTCTGGGCCGACACCACCCCCCTCAAATCAGCATGAAGCTGATTTACGATACATTCCAAAGGAGTATTAAAATTACACATAGGTTTCACTAGCTGTCACTCCACTCTTTGCTGCTTTTTTTTTCTTTTGAACATTCCTCTTCGCTGGTTGACTTGCTTAAAAGTGGAACACAAGTTTGGAAGAGATGACAAACTAAATTAACCTTACATACCAAAAAACATAAAACATAAACCGAAGGGAGAATCACAATGAGATCCCCGTAACTATCTGACTAGTACATTGACATCCACTACATTTGCGGTTATTATACTCAAAACCTCTTGGAATGTGCAAGTTGGTAACAATCAGCTTCCCCATTCGTTTGTCAATTGTCACTTTCAATAAAGAATTTATCGGCGTCATCCCATATTTTATTGAATATGTCATTCTAATCTTAGTCAAACATACTTTAAATGCTAGGCACAAAATACGGGAATGAACAAAAAAAAAAGACAAAAAAAAAAAACCAATAGAACACCAAACACATATTTAAAACACCATTATTTTATTTTTTGTCAAAATGACACATAAAATTAACCATAATGCACATGATATAGGACAAATAAGGTTCATCAACACACTTATCTAACAATCCATACAATAGTTGCAATTACATAATTAAAGTTACATGATAATACACAAAATAGGTTTATGCAAAATCGATCAAGAGTGTGATGGTGTAAGTGATGAGGATGTTTAATACAGTAAGAGATACAGATTAAACAGTTCGATCGGGGTGATCTATTCCACTAGGAATGGCGACAATGACCAGAGAGTTTTTATTACTCAAGGTATAGTGTGCTGAGCCGTGTGTGTTGCGAGATACCCTCCATGTGCAGACGAGGTGTACAAGATTTTACAAGGGTTCCAAGAGAGCCTTGATTTGAAGCGCCATTATAGGGAGCGAAGTGGTTCCGTGATACGGTGTCATCCTCGTAACAAGCGAGGTGATTACATCAATAACTGCGTTCCACGACTCCCTTCCTAAGACAGAGAACCCCATGTGCGCCTCCAATAGGCTAGACCTCCCAAGATGGTGGGCTTGACCTTTGTTGGCCTTCATATGTGATTTGGACTTGGTTTGGGCCGAGCCCGTCATTTGTCCCTATACTCAGAGTCCAATGGGATTTGGGGGAGAGGGCATCAATAAAATAAACCCTTGTCTCAATCTTTGTTTGAGAAGCCTAGCTTATCCTCTTTTAGCAATAAGGTTCTTTTTTAGCAATAGAATTCTCTTTTAGCAGTAGACAACTAGGAGTCTTCTTTTAGCAATATATTTCTTTTTTAGCAGCAGGTAACCTTTTAGCAGTAGACTAGTCCTTCAAATAGGACACTCATATACTAATCTTGAGGGCTAAAGAAGGAGAAGGAATCTCAAGATCTCCTCATACACATTTGAGGCGAAATAAGAAATGACATGTTGAGTGGAGGTGAGAAGGGAACAAAGAAGGCGCCCAACAAGGCAGCACTGGGCACCAAGATCCAGGCGCCATGGTTGGGCACTAGCAAGGACGCTGCTAGTGAGGCGCTAGGTGCCGGGAGCCGACGAGGCACGTAGGGGTGAGCAGGGTGGTTGCTAGGCAAACGCTAGTGAGGCACGCTCGAGCGCGAGCATCGGCTAGGTGAGCATGGGCACGCTAGGCAAGGCGTGGGTAGGCATGCTAGGCGAGGTGATGCAGGCGAGCGACGTGGCGTAGGCGTACACGAACAAGGACGCCGTGATAGGTGGTGTATAACAGACGTTGGGCATGAGCAAGCTGGGTGCCGTGGGTGCCAAGGCGGTAGGGTCTTATTACTTATTCAATAGTTATGATTTTTCAAGTTCACATTTTAAATCTAAAATAACATTCCTCAACAAAATTGTGCGAGGGTTGACCAACAAGACTTCAGAAAATATGTGGTGTCAATGTAGTGGATAAACAACTAAATGGGTCTAATTATAATGAGCAATGTTATACGAAATTAATTTAGAGACTTAATGATGCGACTTTAATAGAACCATTGAATTAGTTGTGAGTTCAAATGTTAAATAGAACTCACTATCATTCTAATAGTTATATATTATTAAGTATCAAGATTAGGTGTTCAAATTAGATCAAAATAGAATTTTTCAATAATAATTTTTTAAGAAATAAATTGAACATTGATGAATGAATGTCCGGAAAAGGAAATTGCTCTTTCTTACAAAGTGGATGTGCATGAGTTGTTGTCAACTACTTATTAGTCCTTTCGCCCTTTTTTCAAAATCTTGCATCGTGTTGGGATGTCAGACAGATTTACTACAATCCCACCGCCATCAAACGGTGGACCACCGCGAAATTAAATAAAGTTACCAGCTCCATCTATGGTATTAAAACAGTTTGGGGTTCTTTTGTAAATTTCTGATTTTTAAAATCAATTCAATTGTATTTTTTTTTGGATAAAATTTGATAGAAGTATGATGTATAGTTACATTATCGCATGTTTGACAACGGTTCAATTGAAATAGAAGAAACATGCAGGCCTCCTCTTATGATACTAAATCAATGTCACTTTTTGACAATATTACCCTTCGTCAACTAAACAGTTGGATTGGATACAAAAACACATTAGTAATTTTAATTCTAATCTCAATTTACACATTTAGATTCCACCCCCTGATGGGTTTCAATAACCACATCTACATGGAGTTATTTTGTAATAATAATTGCAGGCTCGAATTTATAATCCTGTCAAAAAGGGTTGTCAACTATAAATATTATGGGCCCCGAATTTATTTTACCTTATCTCATGTCGATATCCCTTCCAATTTGGCGAATCAAACAGCCCATTAGGGTTCAATTATAATATAAAAAATAATACTTGGCATCATAAACTTTTTTATCTAACAAAAAAAGTGTCAAATAAAATTTTATTATTTTTATCATCAATATCTACAAATGTATCAAATTAATATTTTAGCATAGTAACCAATATTTTTGAAAATATTGCTACAAATGTATTAATTATATATCCATGTCATATAGTAACTACCTTATGTTAAATTTAATTACCCACGTATTATCTTATCATTAAACGGTATAATGGGTATAATGACGTGTTTGCTTGTTTTGAGGTCAAATACAAAAGTCAAAAGGGGTAAACATCACATGGTGCGCCTAATATTTGGTAAAATTGTACACCACTCCCACTAATATTTCAATAATATCATAACGACCTCTTGAATTTTATAAATTTTCCAAAATTTTATTTCAATCTTATCTAAGCATTAATAAAATCTAGACCAATTATAAGATGACATGACGTCAAAAGTCAATCTTCTCCAAAAGAAATCAAAGAGGCATTTTGTTTGGACGAAACCATATAACCAGAACATTAAATCATATTTATGGAAACATAATTTATTTTGTTGATGTGCCTAAAAGACAGTTTGAAAGATGAAGGATGTCTAACAGCTGTTGGTTAGTTTAACAAAAGCCGATGACACCCCCCCAACCCCCCCCCCCCCCTCCCTAACAATTCTAGAATTTCCATCCTCTACAAAGAACTAGATGTGTAAGATGATTTTGCTTCCAAAAATATCATATGAAAAGAAAATTACACCCTGCAACATTTTAAATAAAAATCCATATTAGATCTTGCATTAGTTATAGATCCATATTAAGTCTCAGATCAAAACTAAACCCTACCAAATCATTCATTAGCTTTTCTTGACTACGAGTACTAACTAATCAAGATTGGTCCTTGTAATCTTTATCAAAATAAAAATCCTACTTTTGAACTATCAGTTTAGCATGAAAAATAGCAATTGCCTAGTGATATCCAAACACACCACTTTTTCCCCGAGCTCCCCAAGCATCCCCTCCCCTGCCTTCGTAGCCCCTTTCCCTGGCACACCTACTTATTCATCATCTCCTCCCCTTCCCCGTATCAAAACATTTTTAGAAAGTTAAAAGCAAATAATTATAGTAGCAATTTTGAACATTGAAACAAATTTTGCCCTTCTAGAAATTGCAATGGCAAATTCATAAGTTTTTATAATATAATTCGTATCAATTACGGTAAATTTTTGCCTAAACTATGTGTTTGTGTTTGTGGTTGATTTTTAAATATTGTTGATCTGGTGGAAGATCAAGGTGGGGTAAGTGATGTGGTGAGCATTGTTGTGGTGTGATGAAGGAGGAGGGAGAGAAGAAAGGTCACTCTTGTAACGTGGTTTGCAATTTGTGGGATGTGCTAAGTTAGTTGGACACAAGTTTGAAAAAGATAAAAAAGATATTGACTAAATCTGGGAATAGATTTAATTTACTAAATAGGGTTGGTTAAATTTAGTATCGAATTTAGTTTTTCATTTTTCAGCTCAAGTCAAGTGGAGATTAAAATCAAACTTTCCCCAGGCCAGCATTGGCCAGATTTTAACTACAATTAAGGTCACAATGTCATTTTCTAAATGTGAGATGGTCGATGTGTCATTCTACCAAATCTTATGGCTCCTTTAGATTTTTACCCCATGCCAAATAATCGTCTAGCACTACATTTATTCGATCAATGAATAAAATAACATAATCAGAAAATAAATAAATAAAACAACTGTCCCCAAGGCTTGGAAAAAATAAATAAACTAAAAAAAGTTTATAAAACATAGAATTGTAGGCACGAAGGTGGGCAATGGCGCTCATTCATATCTGTAAACACAGGGAGACGTAAGCCTTACTCCTAGCGTTATTAGCAGCTGGAAACCAACCAGTCCTTTCTTCAGTACATTTGAATGTGATCATCTTTCTTCCCCCCCGCCCCCCTTCTCTCCCTTTTTTCTCTCTCTCTCTCTACTTATTACGTTTGAATGTGATCATCCTTCTTCCCATTCATTCTATCTGCTTCTCTCTCTAGATCTTTTTGTCTCTCTTCAATGCCTCCTCCTCGCGTCCGTCTCCTGTTGCTCACCACCGTACTCTTCTTCGTCTTCCAGATTTGTTCAGCGCAGGGCACTGACAATGATAATCAGAAGAGTCTTCAGTTTGATAACCCAAGTCTCCGGCAAGCCTACATTGCATTACAAGCATGGAAATCCGCCATTTTTTCCGACCCATTGAACTTCACTGTGAACTGGGTCGGCTCCAACGTCTGCTCCTACGTCGGAGTCTTCTGTGCTCCGTCACTCGCCAACGCCTCCATGAAGGTGGTAGCCGGCATTGACCTCAACCATGCCGACATCGCCGGTTACCTCCCAACGGAGCTTGGATTCCTCACCGATCTTGCACTCTTCCACCTCAACTCCAACCGCTTCTGCGGCAGTGTTCCGGCGACATTCAGTCGCCTGAAACTCCTCCACGAGCTCGACCTCAGCAACAATCGCTTCGTAGGTGGGTTCCCGGAGGTGGTTCTCTCTCTTCCTTCTCTCAAATACCTTGACCTCCGTTTCAACGAGTTTGAGGGAGCAGTCCCTTTCAGGCTTTTCGACAAACACCTTGACGCCATCTTTCTGAACGATAACTGGTTCCGATTTGGCATTCCGGAGAACCTCGGAAACTCGCCGGTATCCGTTCTGGTCTTCGCTAACAACAACCTCGGAGGCTGTATTCCGGCGAGCATCGGAAAAATGGGCAAAACCCTAAACGAGATCATTCTCATGAACGACAATCTCACCGGTTGTCTTCCCTCTGAAATCGGAATGCTCAAGAAGCTCACGGTGTTGGACGTAAGTTTCAACCATCTCCAAGGCCAGTTGCCGTCCACTGTCGGTGACATGAGGAGCCTCGAGCAACTAGATGTAGCGCACAACCGGTTCACCGGAGATATCCCTGCAGGTATCTGCCAGCTGCCGAGGCTGCAGAACTTCACCTATTCCTTTAACTACTTCACCGGAGAAGCACCTTCATGTGCCGCGTTCTCGGCCGGCGGAAGGGCTGTTTCAGATGGTCGGAAGAATTGCATTCCCGGAAAAACAGATCAACGGTCTTCTCGGGAATGCTCTTCCGACGTTTCCCGTCCGGTTGATTGCAACAAGTTGAAATGCGGCGGGAGAGTTAGTCCTTTTCCTGGTGAAGCACCGCCATTTGTGTCTCCGGCACCGCCAAGGACAAATAGAAGGCCGCGTTTTCCAAGTCCACCAACACCAAGGGCAGCTCACGGACCGAGGCCATTTATCAAGCAATCACCTCCTCCACCTTCATCAAAGTCATCGCCTTCTACTAGAGCACACCCACCACCACCACCAACTCTATCATCCATTTCAGCTACACCGCCACCACCTCCATCCAAGTATCATGCACCACTATTCCCACCGCAGAACTCCCCCATTATGCCGCCACCACCACCACCACCACCACCAGTTGACTACGTGCCATCAGACCCTAAGACATCGCCTCCGCCACCTGTAGAGAGCTCACCACCGTCATATCATAGTTACACCCCATCACCACCTCCACCAACAGATGAGCATTCAACAAGTCCAGCTCCAGCTCCAGTTCCATCACCAGCAGAATCCTCCCCACCCACCGAAGGTAACAGTGGGCCATCGCCTCAATCACAACCGTTGCCACCAGAGTCATCCCAACCACTGCCACCAGAGTCATGGCAGCCTCCGCCTCCGCCTAGTCACCATTCTATGCCGTCGCCATTGGCAGCGCCACCAATCCAAACACCTAGTTATCATCATTCACAGTCACCCCCTCCTCCTACATCACATGGGCACAACCCACCATCACTTCCCCAAATTCCGCCACCACCCACTATGTACTCGTTTTCATCACCGCCACCGCCACCGCCACCATTTCTTCCGCCTATTACAGGTGTTTCATATGCATCTCCTCCTCCCCCTCCCATTCCCTACTATTGATGTTAGTAGATTGTATGCTTTTTCCACTCCCTCGGCTTTGCTATCACATTTCCATACTATGCAAAGAAAATCAAAAAAACAAAGAAGGAAAAGAAAGTTGACAAGTTATTTGCTGCTTTTCAGAAGATGGCAAGTCGTAGTAATCGGTTCCATAATTTGCATTCTTCCGATGCTCTTCCTTGTATGTTGAGGGGGTATTACTTGAGGAATTATATATTGAGCTTCAGTTTTGGGGGGTTTGTTTTTTCATCTTTATGCGTTATTATAATTCATTTGATTTGATAGGGGAATATGGGTGAGATGGAAATTAATATTGTAATGTATTTTCCAGGAATTGTCTGTAGAATTGCGATTTAATTAGGGTAAATTATTATGATGTTTTTGCGTTCATGTGTTCGAAATTTGAATAGAAATGGTGAATTGGTGCACGCAAGCAGGTGTGTGTGGAGAGTTATAAATACTTATGTTACATGTTGAGTCAATGTTTCTACTTTCTAAAATAATTGGTGGTTCATCTAATGGTACAAAATAACAAAGTCGTCTTGAATTTAAAATTCACCATCTCCAGATTTGTTCGTAATTGATACAGACGTGTGTTCTCTCTAATAGTTTTAGAGTAGTGTTATTTTGTTATAAAAATTTGACTTGACTTAATTTATTATGAATTTTGAATTGAATATGAATCCTATCAAATTTTGAAATTTATTCTTCATACAATGGATTTAATAAAATCATATCATCAAAAAATTAGGTCAAATTTTTTGGTCTATTCTTTAGCTGACTTGGACATTCAAAAGAAATACTGTAAACTAATTTACAAAAAGGAAAAAACATTTAAAATTTTCAATTTTTGGAGGAAAATTTTCAGTATTTGAGTTGGGACTTCAAGTTCTTCGCTGCTAACTCAAGAATCAAAAATTCAACCTTAACTAGAACTAGAATCGAATTTTTGAGGCGATAATAAAATCTAATTTTAACTCAAATTATACAGCTTGAGTTTAAAATTTTAAATATGGGCAGTACTTCTTGAGTGACTGAAGTTGAACTCGGACGGATTGTTTAGGTGCTTAACCCGAGGATCAAATTCAGTTAAACCCCCAATTAAAATTCGAATTTTGGAAAATTTGATTTGGATTTCAACAAAGTCTGAGTTTAGTCCTTGTAAGGGATTTATCCGCGCGTTCGGGATGTCCTCCCCCCACAGAAGGATTTCGGCTTGACCTGGGTTAACCCACGCGGGCGACCCCCCAATAGCCTTTACCCCTCAGTGCCCGCAGGAGCTTCGTCCCACATCGACTTAGAGTCGTCTTCCTCCCTCGCATATAAGCCTTTGCACTCAAAGGAGGAGGTACCCACTAGCGACCTGATCAGGCCTAGTGGGTACCTCCTCCTTTGAGTGCAAAGGCTTATATGCGAGGGGGGAAGACGACTCTCAGTCGATGTGGGACGAAGCTCCTGCGGACACTGAGGGGTAAAGGCTACTGGGGGGTCGCCCGCGTGGGTTAACCCAGGTCAAGCCGAAATCCTTCTGTGGGGGGAGGACATCCCGAACGCGCGGATAAATCCCTTACAGTCCTTGTTAAAAATTTAAGTGTAAGATGAACTTTTTTTTTTTTTTTTTATCAGAAGTATAAGATGAACTCGAACTGTCTTTTTTTTTTGGAAAAAAAAATACTATCTTCCATTTCTTTTGCCACTTTATTCTGCTACTATTGTGGATAATTCCAATTAATAACTGGCCAAAGATGAAGACCTGTTCCCTGACATCCTCACCCACCAGGGAGATTGAAGGCGTTGTCAACCACAAACAATTAAGGCCGGTTGGAGGTAACTTGAAGTTTCCATAAATTAAGGTTTGTTCGGTTCGGGTATTATCTGGATTTATTTTATTCATTAAATCTAGCCAATTCATTTTCTTTGTCATGTAGTACAAATTAATTTTTTTTAAATTGGGATAAATTATACTCACAACCACTGACATTTGACTAAATGACAATAAGACCCCCTAATATTTCTAAAATGATACGGGGACTCCTTGTTGGCATCAATAGATGATCGACGTTATCATAAGTGGTAAATGACTATTTTAACCCTTTAATTTAATTTAAAATAAAAACATAATAAATAAAATATATTGCAACAAATTAAATTAATAAGTCAAAAAAAAATCCCTCTCTTGCTCTGGCATCTCATTCATCCTTTACCCCGCCCAACCGTTGCCATCACTCCTCCTCTCCTCTCTCTCTCTCTCTCTCTCTCTCTCTCTCGCTCTTTACCAACCTGCAACTCTTTCTCTTCCCTTCTCCCTCTTAGATCCCCCAGGCCCCCAACCTCCTATTCTCTCTCTTTCTCTCTCCCTTAGATCCCCTTGGCCCCCGCCCTTCCTTGCAACAAATCTCAACCCTCCCAAACTTTTCGCACCCCCAACTGCTATCCAACCCTCCCAACCTAGCTACCACCACCACTCCCAACCTCTTTCCCTTTCTCTCTCTTTTTTTTTCTCTCTCTCTTTCACACACACACACACACAGATCCCTCAGGCCCTCGCCCTTCCCGGCAACAAACCACATCTCAGCCCACCCCAGCTACCACCACCACTACCACTCCAAACCCACCACTCTCAATCCCCATTTCTCTCTCTACCTCTTTCGTCTCTCTCTTTCTCTGATCTCCCACGCCCCCTACCCCATCCCTACAACAAACCTCATCGCACTCAACCTTAGCCACCACCACCACCACTCCTAACCCCCTTCTTTCTCTTATCTCTATTCTCTCTTCCTTTATGATCCTCTAGGCCCCCCATCCCCTCTTTGCAACAAACCCCATTGCACACAACCCTCTCAACCACCCAACTGTCATCACCACCACAACTCCAAACTCTATCTTTCTCATTCTCAGGCCCCTGCCCCCTCCCCTTCCCCATCATCCTCAACCCACTGTGTAACACCCCAAAATCATGGTACCATATATGCAACAAATGATGAGGAAAAACCAACAACAACTACATAACTCTGATACCTTTATATATATATATATATATAAATTATGTTTAAAACCCCACGATTACATCTCAATCGTCTCTCTAAACTCGGCAATGGACTCCTCTCGTTTGTAATGTTTTTCCTAAAAAAGTCATTGAAACCATTAGTGAGAGCAAGGATGCAATCAATAATCACGAGCACAACAAGAAATAAAGAAAACACTTTATTTATTTAGAAACAACCTTAACCATGTTGCAATTACCAACATTAAATGTTACACTTCACCACTTACACGTTGTTCGGATACATCACATAGACATAACTTATATAAATCATATTGACAAAATTTACCGCTAAAATAGTTACTTTCACACAATTAAATTATGCTACACAACGAATACCCTCGCGCATACCCCCGGTCACACAGGAAATTCAAGCTACACAAATAATTCTCATCACTTAGACGACATATACCACATAATTAATTCTCATCACTTAGATTACTCAAGTCAGATAGATACTTCTCATTCTTGTCACTTAGACGACTTAAATACGTAATTTAATTCCGTTATGTAGATGGCGTTGTTAATCAACTCGCATCACAACGCTAATTTCGGTCACGTAGATGACTCGTATCAAATAATTAATTCTTGTCTTATAGAACTCACAATTACTTAATATTTTTCGTCACGAAGACGACTCATATACTTAATATTTTTCAGTCACGTAGACATTTCACAGTCACAAAGACGATACAGAAACTTAATATTTTTCGCCACGAAGACGATTCATATGACACTTTTATCTTATGGACAACTCGTGTATTTATAATATTTCCAATAGCTTTTATGACTCATGCTCTCATTGCAACTATTGTCATTTTGATGGCTCACACCCACATTATTATCTCATCATAGGAATGCATCATGCTCGCAAATAAATTCAACTCACAAACAGTCAACTCGAAATGCATGCACAAATTTCGTCACATAATTGACCCAAGCCACGAAGGCTTACTCCATCATTTAAACCATCTTTGCCATCTAAATATTACACCACTCAGTTATTTAATCTCAAAAGAGATCATAAAACAATCATTTAAACAAAACTTAAATATGTATCAATAAAGAGAATGTAGGATAGCACACCTACCTTGCGTGAGATTCTACCTCGTAGACGACCCCTCCATCACAGTTTTGAGTGCGGCAATCTTTGACGTTTTTGCCTCTGGACCTGTCATGTCCAATATCCATAATCCCACTCAAGCATTAATATGTAATAACGCTTAAATCCATAATGGTTTACGAAACACGAATATGTAATAACGCTAATAGTTTAATAATCAATTTGAGTCAAATTAAATAATCCATTTACATCCAATAAAATTATCTACTTGAATCGATTAAGCTATTAGTTTAATAATTAATTCAAGTCAAATTAAATAATTCATTTACATCGAGTAAAATTATCTACTCGAATTGATTCAACTAATCTTCTCGAATCCGTTAAATCAACATTTATTTGAACCAATTACATTAAATGAAACCTTTCTCATAAAATTGCAAACATAACAAAAGTATACTTGAATTTACATAATTTCTTACATCATAAAATTTTACATGTTTTCTTGTAATTACTCATCCATGGATTCATTCAATTTCAAGAACATTTAATAATATTTTTAAATTATCCACTAGACTATTCTGGTTCTAAATCAAAATTCAACCTACATACAATAATTCTATTCTTCTTATATATTGTTTTTTCATGCAACAACACCGTATGCTCACACACCCACCTAAATATTATATTAATTTTTCAAGCAATACTCATGATACCACACTTCCATAACAACCTTTACATTAAACCTACATGCAATACACCATTCTTAGATAACATGCAATACCCAATAAATATACACTAACAATTCTTATATATACATTTAAAATGATAGAAGATAGATTACATGGCTTACCTGTTATACCCACTTCCTACACCACCAATCTTCCACCTTTAACCCAACTGCACTTTCAAGCCTCTCTTTTTCCCTTCTTACTTTACCCAAAATTTTTCAAGTGTGAGTGAAGAGTCTTGTTTATTTTTCTTTGTTTTCTTTTCTTTCCTATTCTTTCCTTTCCTTCCTCTTCTTTTTTTTTTTCCTTCTTTCCCTCTTGGCTCTTGATCTAGCCGAATTATTCAAGTGCAAGACCTCCTTTTTCTTTTCTTTTCTTTTTGCATGCAAGACATACTTTGCATGTCTTGCTACGTGGAAACTTTCATCATAACTCTATATATATATAAATCCATATGTACTCCTTAGCTTATATAGGTTTATACATGTACAATTATATGTATGTACCCATTTTTTTTTTGTATGCATAT